GCCAGTCTCTGAGTGCCCGCCGTAACGTGGACTCAAGAATAAATTCCTCTGATGCCTCCACACGGCCCCCAGCCGCTTCCGTTCTACTCTCAATCGGCGAGGTCACAATCATCCATCATCGGCCACCCCAGCACCCTCGTCAATTTGCCTGAGCACTACGATCGAACCCAAAGCGTCACCTTCACGCCAGCCGTGCCATTCAAGACTCCAAAGCCAATTCACACCACTTGCCTCGTGATACACCGAATGTTGCCCTGCACGCCATCATGCCATTCAAAGCTTACATTCTGACCGGTGAGGAACGCTACTGAGTATCGCTTCATCTGCATAGCCCACTCATCACCTCTGTCTCGGGTCTGTTTCGGCCATCTGTATGCTTTCCAGTGTCCGACACGCTCGCACAGGCCATGTCTGCCAGCAATCCCATCCAAACCACTAACACGTCTGGTCTGACGCTGCGAGAGAGCCTGCAACAGCACTCGTCGAAGCAATTTTCTGTAGAGGAAGAGGCGGTGGTGGCGGATGACATTGCCGACATACAGCGCACTATCAAGCGATGGATAGCAGCACGCGCTGATCTGATTCTCACGACTGGCGGGACGGGCTTTGGTACCCGAGATGTGACGCCAGAGGTGAGCCCGATGGGAAGGAGACATCTGCTTGGACCTCGCATTGCTCACTAGCGTCTGGCGCTTGCTGGTCCGCAGGCAATCGCACCACTGGTGTCCAAGCCAACACCTGGTCTCACACATTTGCTGTTATCTCACAGCCTCCAGAAGACTCCAATGGCGGTCCTATCTCGACCTGTAACTGGAATCGCACTGCATGCTCCCCTCCCACAGAGCACACCCGAGACACAGCAGACGGGAGCCATCATCGTCACGCTTCCTGGATCTACCAGAGCTGTGGGAGAATGCATGGACGCTCTGCTCGGGGACAGCGTGCTTCAGCACGCGCTCGAGCTAGTGTCTGGCGGGTCGGGAAGCCGGCAACACGCCTCAATGCAAGGTCCTGGAGGAGGTCGAGATGGCGCCAAAGCTAGTCATACCGGTCTGAGCGGAACAGAAACAGATACAGGCAGTGCTAGAGTGTGCTCTGGACTGCAAGGTCAGCACCACCACCCACACCACCACCACCATCATCATCATCATGCAGACCACGCCGCTCCAAAGCCTCGCACGGAGCAAAGGGAGGAATCGTCTGGCTACGTTACGCGAGACCCGGGAGGACCAGCATCGCGTCATCGGAAGAGCCCATACCCGATATTATCGCTCGACGCTGCTCTGAATCTCATCGCCGAGCATACCCCCTCACCCCGGCAAACACATGAAGCCTCGATTGACCGAAAATTGATCGGCGCAATTCTCGCCCGTGACGTCACTGCACGAACTGATCTTCCCCTCCGACCAACGACTAATGTGGATGGATACGCAGTTTCCGCCCATCACACACCACCGGGCCCGTATCGGGTCAGTGCATCGAATGCGGGATTCGAAGCTGGTAGCGTTCAGCGTATCAACACCGGCCAAGGACTTCCGTCCGGTGCCGATGCGGTGGTCATGGTGGAGGACACGGAGCTTCTGGAGAGCTCGGATGATGGAGAGGAGCGCTACATCAAGGTGTTGGCGCAGGTGGATGCGGGGGAGAATGTGCGAAAGGCTGGGAGCGATGTCAAACAAGGGAGTGTCATCTTGCAGGCTGGTCAAAGACTGAGCGAGCTCGGCGGGGAGCTAGGCACTTTGGCTTTCTTGGGCTATCCGAAGGTGCGTGGTTAGAGCACTGGGCAGACTCTGCGAGGTCTCTTTTTGGGCCCCTTACTGATGTATGCGCTCTAATACTAGGTCACAATACACACAAAGCCGAAGGTTGCCATCTTGTCCACTGGCAACGAGCTCGCAGACATCGCTGCTCCGAAGCAGACTGACGCCTGGGGATTTCGAATTTGGGACGCCAATAGGCCCGGTCTACGGGCGGCGATCGAGTCCGCTGGATACGAAGTAGTCGACTTGGGCATAGTGCATGACGAGTGAGTCTCTCAGCATTGAGCGTGTATTCATCTGCACAAATGAGGGCATCACTTGATGCTTTCGCTTCCTCGCATAGCCGTCAAGCAACAGTCGACGCACTTCGAAGGGGACTGGAAGAGGCTGAAGTTGTTCTGACAACCGGCGGGACCAGTATGGGCGAAAGCGACCTGCTGAAGCCTATCATCGAGCGCGACCTTGGAGGCAAGATTCACTTTGGGCGCGTCGCCATGAAGCCGGGCAAGGTGAGCTGCAGTCTAGCCTCGCCAGCCGTGAAGCGGCCGCCGTGCTGAAATGCTCGAGCCACGGCGATAGCCCACCACATTTGCCACAATCCCTCGCGAAAGCTCCGATCGCGTGGTGTTCGCACTGCCAGGCAATCCAGCCAGCGCTCTGGTGTGCTTCTACGTCTTCGTGTTGCCTTCCCTGCGCAAGCTTTGCGGCCATCACGCATCCATCGCGCCGTCTGGTCAAGGGAGGTCGTGGAGCGTGCCCCGCGTCAAGCTGCGATTAGAAAATGCAATGAAGCTGGATCCCCGGCCAGAGTTCCACCGCGCTGTTGTCTACCCAGATGCTAACGGTCGATTAGTGGCGAGAAGCACCGGATCTCAACGTAGCAGGTGAGCCCCGTGATGGCACTCTGAAATTCGTGCCGTCCACGCTACCTCAATCCCGTTCTCTGATTCTGACCTCGTCCACTGCTCAATTATCGTCGCAGTGGGATGCACTCGATGGCGACAGCAAACGCACTGGTCTGCGTACCTGCGTTGGATGGCTCGCCTGGAAGCCCCACACAGTTGCAAGCAGGATCCGAGGCCCTGGCGATGCTGATTGGCAGTATTTTGTAGCGGGAACCTGAATTGG